CAAATTTTTTTATTGAACAAATAACTTCTAAAACCTTTGGAACTTTATGATGAATCCCCTAATATCTGTAGTCGGCTTAAAATTTAAAGGAATTATCAACCGATCAATCAAAATTAGCTTTGTGTGTGTGTATTCATAAAAATAATAAAATTTAAGGAATATATAATTGATAATTGGGGTTATTAAATTTAAAAAGTTAAAAAATTATTTTTACATCACCCAAAGTTTAGAAGACTAATTATGTGTATAATTTAACTTTATGTTTTCAAATGAGTATGGACATTTGGTCGAACCACTTTTTATATTAGCAAAGGCCTGGGTCCTACACTTTAGTCCTAAATATAAGACATTTTTTTATAGTGTAATTTACACTACAAAAGGAGTTAGTTTTATATTTAGGATCGGAGGAATACTATATTAATCAATCAATCAAAGAATTAACTATTTGAGCTTCTTTGTCATTATGCACATGATTGACGAGTAAGGGTCAAAATTAAAGCATGGGGATAATGAAAGGCAGCTTGAGTGGGCATTAGAATGAATTTAACTATTTAAGTTTCTCTTATGTTTACAATACCTTTAATTAGTTCATGCTTTGTTTTTATGTTAAAAATGGATTTGAAATTAAAATGCTTCTATATGTATACTCTAGTCTTCAACTTAGCTTGGAAACATATTTCAGTCTACCGAAATAATCATAAAATGTATGAAAATAATTTATCTTTCTTGAAAACATGTTTTATAGTCAATAGTTTTTTTTAGCAAGCTTGAAAAAGTTAACGAAAAATATGTAAATGAGCTTTGATAATGAGTTTATTGTACAATACTCTAAAACCCGTTACTCTAGGTCTTGGCTTCACCAATGACTCTTCTAAGGCCATGTTTAGAGTGAATTATGAGCAATATTTAATAGTAATTTATGAAATATGAAGTAAGTATGTGGAGGAAAAAAATTTCTTGGTTTACATAAAACATGCTTATAGATATTTATAACTGTGATTCCAAACGAGTCCGCAGTATATGCAAATCATGCCTAGGCACGTTAACCACAGCTTGTCATGAAATCATTTTCAGTTATGATGTGTGTTGGCACTTATAAAGCATTCAGAAAATTATTTTATATCCAATTTGATCAGACTTGTTGACACTTGGTTTCCAAACTACTCTAATTAACTACTCCACTTAGTTAGGAAAACCAATCATCCTCTCCAATTAAAAGTACACATAATAATAGTTATTTTCGACCCCAAACTATTGAAAGTGTAAATACCTCAAATTAAAGAATCAACAAATTGAGGGTTGCATTGAAGCATGGGACCTCAATTAATGTTTATGTTATAGTTATCACACACATAGCCTAATGATGTTTTTCTTCAACCTATTTTTTTCTGAACACTTTCAAGGATCAGCTCATATTTTTTTAGAATAGGCATCCTTAGCGACAAAATTAGTGATAGATCAGTATTAAAAAGTTTGATCAGACGCAGATTTTAGTCACGAATTTTATAGCAAAACCAAAATAAGCATTCTGAAATTTAGGGAGAAAATTTTTCATCAGAAAATTCCATCACTAAATTATTTACGATGGATTAATAATAGAATAATGATGATGAATTTTTGGCCGCAGAAATTTTTCTCATTTTGCGACAAAATTTGCCACATGTTAATAACGAATTATTGACAAGAATTTATTCCCTAAATAAATTTCGTCGCAAATTACTTTTTCTGTTTAGATAGGCGAAATTCTCTTGATATTATAGAAGTGTGACAATTAAAAATATTAATTGAAAAGCCCACCATGAAATCCAACATATCTATAAGAAACAACTATTTTTTAGACATTGTATCCTCTTATTGAAGTTAATTCTATTCAAATATACTATCGGACGGTAAATTAAATGTGGACACTTTTTCTATAGAGATTGTTATACATATTATGAGGAACTAGCTCCTTACCTCATACCCAACTCGATTTGTTACAAGAAACAATTTTAATTGTAACCTTTTTCTTAATAAAGAAGCTTTAAGGCAGTACCGTTGAATATACTATGAACCGCATTTACATATGCTATAATTACAAAATAATAAACTTATTTATCAGTATGAACATGTAAACAAGCCTGAGGTAATACGTGTCCCCCTGAAATCTTATGCCCTAATTCTCTTTTTATTGTGCGAATAGTACGTGGTAATATCCGACTGTAACAAAATATTTTTTTTTGAAACATCATGATTATCATCGTGTACTTGCTTTCTTATAATGAACAAAAAGTCTTATCTCTCACTCTTTTAATACTTTTGAAAGGCTACCTGCAGTTCTAATTATAAGACCTTGTTTATACATTATAAACATGATCTTATAATTATGACCAAAGATAATATGTTAATACTATTTTAATGAGTAGGTGATATTGGCTTATTATAGTTTATGACATCGCTTCGGACTTATTATAAGTCACTTGCGGAGGAAATTTTTTATTCTAAATATAAGTCATCACTTATTGGGTATTTAACCATCATTTTTTAATTGTATCTTTATTTAATTTCTATTAAAAAGAGATAGACGAAAAAAGATGTGAGAACGATTTATACATGCAAAAAGAGGGGAAAAAACTTTAATAAATGTATATTTACAAATTTTTATCAAGTTAATAATTTTTTGATATACAAAAATAAGTACGAGTGACTTATAATAAAAATTGGGGTAGTATAGTTTAGGACAACAGTTTTACAGACGCCTAACTAGAAGTGGGTATGAAAATCAATCAACTATCAACTATCAACTATATTCTTGAAAACTTGTAATACCCGATTTGGTTTTAAAAACGGGTCGGGTATGATATGATGCAATCTGAATATATTTAATTAATAAGATTTGAATGATATTTAGATTTGATTGGGATTTGGGTATATTGAATTAAATAAGAAGCATTATTATTAGATAGGATTTGAATCATATATTGATTAGGATTTGAGTATATTGAACTAAATGAGGAGCATCATTATTAAATAAGATTTCAATTGGAGGCTCACACGAAGAAATTAATAATTAATTTTGAATTTGAATAATATTTTAATAGGGATTTGTATATATTAAATTAAATAGGGAGCATCATAATTAAATAATATATCAATTGGAGACTTAAATGGAGAAATAATTACTTAATTTTATTTTTTTATGTTCTTTAATTTTTTTTTTTTATGTTCTTCTTAAATTCTGTATCTCTAATTCAAATCACATTTAAATGAATAAAAAAATCATACTCATACAAAAAGTGAATTTTGAGCTAACTAAGATAATACAATTTATTAAGATTTAAAATCTAATAAAATATTTTAATGCGTGCATGGCACGGGGAAAATTTTCTAGTTTTAAATCTAAATTTGGTGAATTTTAAATTTCAAGTGCTTTCAAAATTTCAAACTAACTTTATGCAATTTGATATTAACATGTCAAAAATTTTAAGATGAAAAATTTAAAAAAAAAGTTTAACTATTACATGCAGACACATGGATTTTATATTGAATTTTCAAAATTGGACAGTGATATAAAAAGTTACAATTGATGTTTGAACATTTAATATAAAATATTAGAAAGACTTGTTATAAAGATTTGACACTCACCTTCTTCATCAATTTATTATTGACAAACCGTACCTTAATTAAAGTATTCTTAAGTCATTTCAAAATTGAAATTGACCTTTGTCGAGCTGAAAGTATTAATGATAATGCTCTCCGAAATTCGAAATTGTGTTGTTATCAGACAATACTATAATTTTAAATACTCAGTGCTTACGCCTTATGAAACATTAAATTCGCAATAATATGTAATACGTGTCGCCCAAAGCATAAGTAATTATTTATTAACAAAAACAAGAAGGTAAATAGTAATTTTCATGGCATGCTGCGTGTTAACTTATAACTGCACAGCAATAAAATTTTACACACTACACTTTGTCACGTGATTATTAAAAATAAAAAAATCTTATATATTATTATTAGGGGGTTTGGCCGCCACAGGTTTCAATGACTTCCTTTTTTTCTGGCCGAATCAATTACTTCCTTTTTACTCTTAGAGGTAGGATATTAATTAACAAATAAAACTTGTCTAGTTTCTGTACAGCTGTGCATCAAACCCCTTAATAATGTTACTTGTTCTTCTGCCATCACTAACTTGTTTTTAATCTTCTGTCTTTAATAAGTTAAATTAATATATCTTCACACACACGCACACACTCTTGCCTAAACCTGAAAACACTGTCTTTATTAAATTCACATCTTCCTTCTTTGCATGATAAAATAATATTACCTTTGGTCCTAATTATAAGACCTCGTTTAAGAACTGGAAGTAGTGCAAACCATATCCAGGTTTTGAATCAGAAGGATCCGGAAGACATTATTCCAGATCCACCTCGGTAGTTTCAATTGTTCACACTCTATTATTATTATTATATATTCATTAATTTATTATTATTTATAATTCTACCACATGCGATTTATGGCCTATAAATACGCCATGAGAAGCAGCAAGCAGAGCACAGCAACTAATCGTCTCCTTATTATATTCTCTTCTTCTTATATCAGATTATCCGACACTTGCAGACATGTCGTCGATTAAGACGTTAGATCCACCAGTGATGGTCGTTTTCAATTCTTCATCTTCGTCGTTGGAACAGATCAACCCTTTCACTGCAACTGATGAAGCCATCTCCAACCACATCATCGTAATCCATGACTCGCAGGCCCCCAAGTACGATGTCGCTTCTCTTTACAATGTGGTCTCCAACATTGTCAAGAACTCCACTCACATCGGCACCTCCCTCGATCTCAAGGTTCTTAATTTCTTCACTTAAACCCCATTTTTCTTACGATCGAATACTTTCTGTTTGTTTATTAACTGACTATCATCTGTTTGTGCTTGTTTGGATATTATTCTAACAGCGTCCCAAAGCTGTTGAACTTGTGGAAGACAAGGTTCCACAGTCCAGTTCCATGCCACCTTTCAGTACCCTCAAACAACTTGCTTGTCAGGTCATTATTTTTCGTTTTCTTGTTCTTATATTCACTTTTCAGATCTGTCTTTTCGAAAAAAATAACAAACTAGGTGGAATGGAAGAGACTGGATACTAATAAATTGGTATTATAGATGACATGCAAGCCTTTTGAGAAATCTACGGCATACCAGAGAGTAGTGGGAATTCTGGAGAAGCTTGAAAGGTACGCGTGGGACGCAAAGGCAGTGATAGCTCTCTCACCTTTGGCTTTGGACTTTGGTGAAACTTGGCGTCTGTCTCTCATGGAGCCTACCAAGGAAAATGCTCTTGAGCTCCATATCTTCAGGCTTGGGGAAGAACCCAGGCCTACCAAAAGCAACTTAGATCTCATTACCACGTTGGTTGATATTACATTCAAACTTATTGAGGGGATTTCAACATTGGAGAAGAAGATCGCCGACAAGAGTCTCAGCCATAAAGATGTCCCAACTTTGTATGCTGCTCCTCGAGAATTCTATGCTTACTGGGCAATCTTGGCCCTTCTTACTTGTGCTAATCGATGACTGAACTGTGGTATTTTATTTCTTTCATCATCTTTATGCTTTCTCGTTGCTCTGGATAATAGTAAAGTGATAAATAGAGGAGATGAAACCCGCTTCAATTGGCGTTATCTCACTTTTTTTATACTCCTTTGGTCCTAAATATAAGACCTATTTTGTAGTATAATTATATACTACAAAATTGGTCTTACATTTAGGAATGAAGGAGTATAACAAAAATAATTTAGGCGACACTTACCAAGATTAGGTCATGTCATAGCGTAGATAATATTAAAACCCAATCCAGGTCGGCTAGTTATATCAGTGAACTCGTAAGCCAATCCTTGATGAGCCTAAAATGACATCATCTTGAGTTATAAAAGAATAACAATAAGTTATTTTTATTCTTTAGTTACTCTATTTTTTTATTGTGTAATTTATGCATGAATGTTATATTTACTCATAAACTAATGCATTTCTATTTAAATTTAATTATTTTTACGGTTACATATGACTATTGTATGTTTCAATTAAATTATATTATTTTTTATCATAATTGGGTTGAGTCACTCCAACTATAGTTAGACCTTTTAACCCTTGAACCATTGTGTCAATCCATTTAACGACCAGTTTGATTTTCAATGCCTTATGTCAAAACTCAACAAGTGTTTATAGAGGTTCTGACATTGACATTGGAATTCAAACTCACTTCTTTGTGGCATGAGTCACATCTTTGCGAATAGAACCAAATTTTGTTGTTGCTTTTTTAATTAATATCATTATTGGGATCCAATTAAGATTTGGTCTTTCTAATTTCAAATCATTGGTTTTAATCCCTGTAGTCTCATATAGGCTTGATTTAAGTATAGGAATCAAAATTAAAACTCATTAAAATATATATAGATATCATTCGTTAAACTCATACAAAAGTTTATGAAACCATAATATCTAAAACCAATGCTTTGAAATTATTGGAACTAAAGCCAAAATTTAATCAAATTATAAAGCCTACCGATGATATGAGCCCCTTTATTTTAAAGTACAACTCTATGAGGATTAATTCCGTTTTCCAGATTTTTGTTCCTGATGCGTGAAGGTATATACAAATTAAATAAAGTACCACATTCATCATTAATATAAAAACTAGTTGAAAATTTGATTTGATCCTAAATATAAGACATCAATCTTCTTTGTCCCTCAAATTTGTAATTTACTCTTCAAGCTAGGTATCCCTATTGATCACACATGTCAAGAGATTTTCATTCAAGAGTAGTCACAATTAAAAAAGAGATACTTTTGGAAAATCTCCTCATGTTTACGACACATAAGTAAGTTAACTAATTTTCTTAATCTCCTCAAATTAGTTAAGTGACTTTAATTATCTTAAGTAGATGAGGTAGTAATTAATCTTATTTTTGTGTACGCATAAAACATTCTATCACCATTTAATGGGAAAGAGCACAAATTCTTATGTTGGGAATTAGATGCAAATTCCTAAATAACTTTACAGCGGGTGAAGTTAAAGATGATGGGTCACACTTGTGAAAAATGAATTATGTATCTCCTTGATATCACTTCACCCCATGATGATGAGTATGCTAATAGGTGGGTGTCACTTCTATCTTTCTCTTTCTGATCTCTTCTTATTAATATTATCTCCTTAAGTAGTGATGAAAGGAACCTAAAGCTTTTTACCTACTTTTTCCTAAGAAATTTTTTTGAAAACATTTTTAGAGAATCTGTATCCCTTCACAAACTTCAATTTAAATATATGCTTACAATTATAGATCAGATGAATTTTTATTAATGATATAGTCGTTGTATTTGTGAGGTTTTATTGCCTCGTGTGCTTTTTGAAACTGATGTAGGGATTATAACATCAAATCCGAAGTTGTTGGGAAGCTCAATCAAGTTCTTATGAGATTGAATAATGAGTTGACTTTTTTTTGGTGAAAAAAGCTAAGCGAAACTCAGGGCACTAAACAGTAACACTACGAAGCAAATTGTTACTCCCCATCAGGTCCTCCTCATATAGTCGCTTGATTTCTATTGGTGGCGCCATCCAAACGCACTTCCGTCTGTTCTGCGTTCAGCTTAATCGGGCCAATGCGTCCGCACACCTATTTCCTTCTCTGTAAACATGCTTGATTTTTATCGTCCAGTTTCTCTGCATCAGCTTCGAAATCTCCAAGATGATGTTTTGGCATCCTGGTATTACTTGATTTCGATTGATCCCATTCACTAGCTATTCCAAATCGCTTTCTACTTCCACCTTCCTGAACCCCAATTCCCAACATAGTCTCACTCCTTCTAACATCCCCCAACCTTCGGTAGCTAAGCTTCCGCACTCTTCCAGCTTCATGCAGAATCCTTTGAGCCATTCGCCTTCATCCCCCCTAATTACTCCTCCACATCTTGATAGATCTCTAGTACTTATTCCATCAGTATTAAGTTTGCACCAACCTGTCTCAGGCGGTTGCCACTTAATAGAGATGATTATGTTTTCCACCACTCTCATTTGATCCCCGTCCCAGCGTCTTCTATACGCAGTACATTGCTCTTGGATTTTTTCCCCTGGTCTAATTGGTAGCTTGAACTCCTCTGCATGTAATTGAAGGTTTATCCATTTCTAGATTTGCCAGCATCCCGTCGCAAATAGCTCCGGCCAGGTAATATCTTCTTCCTCCTTTCCTCTTCTCATGAGATTCTATGTTAGCCAATCGTCCCATTTTGCCTGAAAACTTTCTTTTTTCCTTCTTGCAGGTATCAATTGTCACCAAATCATAGCAGCATAGCTACAGTCTCTTATGGCATGTATCAGGTCCTCTCTTGACTGATTGCATAGCGGACACAGGTCATTACTACCACCCTACTTACTTGTTAAGGTCTTTGTTGCTAGCCTTTGGTGTTTCATTCTCCACATGAAGACTCTTATTCGTTCTGGTACTTTCAACTTCCATATTGCTTGCCACAGACCCCTCTCCCTCGTGTTTTCCTTCCTTTTCAACCATTTATAGGTGCTTGCTGTAGTGAATTCTCCATCAACAGATAAATTCCATCTTGTGACCTTCTGCACATCTCTCCCCGTATCAATCTCTTCTCCAGTATTATTCTCCTTTCTGGTGTATTCTGTTAGATTTTCTTTGTAGGAGTCCCATTATTTGTTCATTCCTCACCATAGTTGAGAATCTCCTGCTTTAGTGATTCTTGGTTGGCTATCATCCTGTCCTCTGCCATACTTTCCTTGTAGCACTTGAACCCAGAGTGCTTGCGGTTCTTTTTCCATCCTCCACAGCAACTTGAGCATGAATGCCTCATTCATTAACTTTAAGGATTTAATATTCAGCCCCCCTTGTTCCTTTGGTTTACCTAAGGTTTCCCAATTTATGGCATGCCAACGTCGTTGTTTTTCCTTGGTCACCCCATATGAATCCTCTCTGGACTCTTTCTATTTTCCTCAACAACCCCTCTTGGGAGTGTGTCATGCTATATCGGATACAGTGCCATTGAGCTGGTGATGGATTTCATTAGAGTCATTCTCCTTGCTAAGGAAAGAGCTGCAGTTTGCCATCCACTCAGTCTTCTTTTCACCCTTTCCACAATGCTACTACATTTTTCTTTTCTCTTAAGTGGGAAAGTAATATTAGCGCCTAAGTATCTCCCCAATTCTTCCACCTGTTTAAATTTGCTTCTTCTGCATATCTCTTTTTTTGTGCTAGTATTCACATTCGCCAAGAAGTATATTTGTGTTTTCTCCGTGCTCACCTTATGCCCAGAAACAGCTCCAAATTCCTACAAACAATCAACAGTTAAATCTATTTGATTAGTATTAGCCTCTGTGAAGAGCACGAGGTCATCAGCAAACATCATGTGAGTGATAAACGGACCATTTCGGCCCGCTTTGATTCCTTTCCATTTTTTCTCTCTCACTCTATCTAGAATCATATGTGTGAGTTTTTCCATTCCGAGCATAAAGAGGTAAGGGGAAATGGGATCGCCTTGCCTAATTCCCCTAGAGGGGTTGGAAGCTTCTAGCTTTTCTCCATGCTATAGGATTTTTGTTGAAGTAGGAGACAAACATTCCATAATTCTTTCAATCACCTCATCTCGACACTTCAATTCCTCTAAGACATTTCCCATAAATCTCCAGTTTATTCTATCATAGGCCTTCTCTAAGTCAATGTTGATTGCCATGAAGCCTTTTTTCCCCCCCTTTTCTTTCTCATCGAGTGAATCATTTCATTTACAATGATAATATTATCATGGATGTTCCTTCCAGGCACAAAACTTACTTGATGTGGAGAAACAACTTTGGTAATCAACCGCTTTAATGTCTTGACCAGGATTTTTGTTAGGCATTTGTATATGACATTACACAAAGAAATTGGTCTAAACTGACTGACCTTTTCTTGATTTCTTTTGCATCCTTCCACATTTTATTGACCACTTTACACACGCTTTCTCCCACAATTTCCTAGTTTTTTTTTTATAGAAAATGGCAGGAAAGCCATCCTCCCCTAGTGCTTTTAAACTTCCAATTGAGAAAATGGCCTCTTTGATTTCTACATCATTTATTCTCCCTCTTAATTGCTGCCACTCCTTGTCTGCTACTTCTGGCCAAGAGTGTTTTGTGTAAATCCATCCTCTGTCCATCTCTTCCTCCGTAAAGAGCTTTTGGAAGAAGCTATTGATCACTTCACCCACTGTCTCTTTCCCTTCTACCCAATTTCCATCTTCATCTTTCGGCATTGTCACCCTATTTCTCCTTCTCTTAATTGTGGTCTTGGTATGATAGTATCTTGTGTTCTATCTCCATCATTCATCCACTTAGTTTTGGCTTTCTAGTACCACAACATTTCTTCCCTTTGCAGAATTTGGTTTAATACTTCTATTAAGTCTCTCTCCAAGTCCTCTAATTTCTAATTGAAATAATTCTGCTTGCTTCTTTGGATCCCGTTAATTCTTCTTATAAGCTCTCTCTTCTTCGTCATTATGTGACCAAAAGTGTTGATATTCCAATCTTTCAGATTTTTTTCTAGATCCTGTAACTCATGCCAAATATCTTTATTCCCTGTCCAATGTTCTTTCAAGTTCCTCTTGAAGTCATCATGTGTTAACCAAGCGGCTTCAAATCTAAATGGCCGGGCTTCCCTCTTTCCTTTTTCATTCAGTATTTTTATGAACAGAGGATGATGGTCAGAATTGATTCTTGGTCCCACTCTTACCGTAGCATCATTGAATTCATTTCTCCAGCTGTCATTCCATAACGCACGGTCTAGCTTTTTATACAGTCTGCACACTGGGTGTACAATGGGTCCCCTCCAAGTGAATCTGGGCCCTTCTGAGGCTATTTCTATCAACTTGCATTTATTTATATTGTCTTCAAACTTTCTACATCTACTTTCCTGTATTTCTCCACCACCTCTTCGTTCTGATCTGTTTCTTATGTCGTTAAAATCCCCTGCAACCAACCAGGGATCCTTTGTCCTATTTGCAATCCTTAATATATCCTCCCACATCTCTCTTCGTTCTCCTTCTCTGGGGCTTGCATATATCGCAGTGAACAACCAGATTCTTCTTCCTATTCCTCTCACTTCACAGTGTATATATTGCTTTTTTGTTTTAATTAGTGAGATTGATACTTGTGGATCATCCCAAAGAATCCATATTCCTCCTGACATTCCTTTTGCTTCCTTAATCACCCTGTTCTGGAATCCCATTCTTCTTATGGCTTTATCAGCAATCTCACCACTACATCTTGTTTCAACGAGAACCATTATGTTTGGTCTATACTTCCATTTAAATTCTTTAACCGTCTGTCCGAAAGCACTTCTAGCAGCACCTCTAGCATTCCAAACTATAATCATTGGATAACTAAGAGGTAGGACAAGGACCACTCACAATTATATTGACTCTAGAACTAGCGAGGTATTTGTTAGGCTCTCGCTGCTCTTAATCTCCATGTTGCCAACCTCTTCACCCCTTTTTTCTTGTACCTGGTGTTCAACATTATAAGGGCCCATCAGTTCGCTTACACTGCATGGATCTGGTGGTTTTTTCATATTAAGGTCCATCCTTCCATCATCAGTATTGGGCTTATCATTATTAAACTATTCCTCTAATATTTCCTCAAGGCCCAGTTCCTAATTTTCCCCTCGTCCCTTTTCCTTTTGTTTGCATATTGTGGTCTTGGTCTCTTGGCCCATGTGTTGTTGCTTGCCACTCACTTCTTCCTTCGGGCTGTATTCTTCACTTCTAAGGCCCACTTTCTTCTCTACTTCTTGATCTACTTTAGAGCCCATATCCTTTTCTCTCCTATTTTACCCCTGTGTCTCGCCAGCTTTTTGTAGGATTAAACCCTGCTTTTCCTATTGCTTCACTTGTTTGCTTATCCCTTTACTAGTCTCTACTCTGACTTTTTCTCTCCCTTTTAATTCTTTACTTGCAGATTTCCTTTTTCCCCTTGTGGTGGTTTTCCTTGTATTATTTTCTCCAGTTTCTCTTTCTCTTTTTTCCTCTTGGGCATTCGAGATGTTCTGCAACGGGGTTCTACCTACTATTTCAGTTTTCTCAATTCCCACATCTACTTCTAACATTTCCAACACTGCAAATCTTGAGTTGACCCCTATTTCCTTTCTTGTCTTTTCAGCCGTTTTTGTCTATGTTCTTACTTTTCCTCCTCGGTCTCCTACCCTTCGTCCTCTCCTTGAATCCTGTGCTATCATCCAACCTCTGTAGGTGTTTTTTGGTGATTTTTCCAACTCTAGAGGTTTTGTGGGTGACGCGCCTTTCCTTCTGCCATTCTCCTGCTCTTTGTTGGTCTCTTCATTAATTGGTGTTCCTTCTTGCTTTCGTCGAGCTGGGCAGTGATCTGTCGCATGGCCGAATTTGCCACAAGCAAAACAAATTAAATGAAGACCCTCATATTCCACCTTTAAGTAGTTTCCATCCATTGTGTAAGTTGGGAGCAAGGGTTTGTGTAAATCCACCTCCACACACATTCTAGCATACATAGTTCTCCCTTTTGTTAATGTCATCTCATCAACTTTTATAGCTTTATTGATTCTGTTTTCCAGATGATAAAAAAATTTCTTATCATAATAATCTCCTGGGAGCCCCGGTAACCTTACCCATATCGCCACTTTATGTATTTTCTCAGCCCATGGATTGAAATTTTGCTTCCACGTTTGCACAGTAAGATAGTGATTTTAGATCATCCATGGGCCTCCTTCCAAAGCAAAGTAGTAATCATCCAGCTCTTGGAAGGTTGCAATCATATATCCATTCCCGATATCTGAGAGATCAACTTTCCTAGATTTTCCCCACATCAGTTGCACCTTCCTTCGTAGTGGCATAAATCCAATCGTCCCTCCTAGCAGTTTTATGATGAGTGAATTTTCCCATTCTTTGGCCAATATTCGTTTCTCCTCCTCAGCAAACTCAATGGCTATGTTCCCTTCAGATTCCTTAATGCTGATTCCTTTCTCCATTTCTTCCGGATCTAGAGAGAGTAAGCATCCATCCCACTACTCTTTTTGGTTTCCTGAATTCCTTTTTGGTTCTTCATTGACGTACCTTGGTTTCAAAACTTCCCTGTAGGATAGCATTTTCTTTGTTCTATTTTCCATCATTTCCTCACCTGCATCCATCCATTCTTCAGCCCTGGTTATCGATGATACTTCCCCTGTGAAGCACCCATCCTTCCTCTGGAACTTACCTTTTCCGGAATTTATCTCTTATTTCCCCTTCCCTTTAGTTTCTTTTGGAGGTTTAGGCTCCTCAATCCTATTTCCCAAATCCTCTGGCATGCTCGAGTCACTCTGATTGCCCCTTATTGTCCCCACTTCATCATCCATCGGACGATCAGGTGGAAGATTGTGGGGGTTTTCGTCGTTTGGTAACATGGCAAGCTCACACAGATAATAATGAGTTGACTTTGATTAAACATGAAGAAGGTTACGGAAAAGAACTGTTTATGAGTTTTTCCAAGTTTTTAATAATTATTTTTTTAGCACAAGCATATTAAATTTCTTTTGAAGTACATGCTATAGATAGCATAACACTTAAATCTCAAAAGATGAATTTAGAAGCAGTCAGATCTAAAAAAATTTAGTAAAAAACGAGTTGAAAATATCAATGCAATCATACATGAGAGTTTCAATTGCAAATCTGCTGAAGTGACTTATAAGAACTTGAATGTCCAATTGACTCTCATATTGACCACTGTATGAATTGATATTTACAACTCATCTTTTAACAAAATATTACTCCTCCGGTCCTTAATATAGGACCCAATTTTTAAGTTGGTTTTGGTCCTAAATATAAGACCCATTTCTCATATTTATCAGTTTTCTCTAAATTACCCCTATAGATACTCTCTCACCCATAATCAAGTAGAAGAGGGAGAGGGGTATTAAGAAAGATGATTATGGTATTTTGGGAAAAATGTGTTACTTTTTTTATAATTAACTAACTTACCTAACTTCCTTAATCTAATCAAATTAGTTAAATGGGTCTTATATTAAGGATCAGAGGAGTATTAAAATGCCAAGTGTTATTAAATTTATTTTTGGGATTAAAATTGCCATTTTCCCTGTAATATATCCAACGCTAATAATGCTAGCTTCATTGAAATTTTCAGAAGATGCAAAAGAGAAAATATCATGAGAGCAGGCGCTTCTGTTTCCTTCTGGAATTGTGGATCTTTTAAAGGCTCTCATCTTCTCCTTGGAAATTATTGATCTGGGAATCTTCGACAACACTGCTCAAGAGTGGTCAGTTCTCAGAATTTTTAAACTCAATTATATAAATCGTTTAGGAAGAAAATAATTAAAACATTTCCATTATAAAATGCTACCTCCAGCCTTTAATATAAGAGCTAGTTGACTAATTTTAGTATATTAAAGAAGTTTGTTAAGTTAGTTATTTATAATAAATGTGTTATCTTTCTTAGAATACCTTTACTAATCATGTATATTAACTAAAACTACCATTTGATGGAATCTATAATATGTGTAACTACTACAAATAAATATGAAAGATAAAGTGAATTGGAATCTTATATTTAGAATAAAATTGATACTCAAACTAGCTTTTATACTACCTCCAGTCCTTAATATAAGACCTTATTTGATTTTTATTTTGATCCTAAATATAAGACTCTAATATATTTTATCTCTCATATTTATGTATTTTTTTCCAAGGTAGTCTTTCTAACAATAGTAATTCTAACCAATATACTTGATTAGTAAAGATATTTTAGGAAAGATACCACCTCTTTATTATAAATAACTAACTTAAGTTCTTTCCTTAATCTTTTCAAATTAGTCAACTAGCTCTTATAATTAGGATCGGAGGTAGTATTAATTACCGGAGGTACTAAGTAAATAAAGCTAGAAGTAAGATTTAATTTCAATAGTAGTCCCAATTCATTTGAAGATTTTAAAGGGTATGTGCTTTTTTGTGGCCAAATTTCAGGTAAGCAAAGACGTTGTGAAGACGAAGAACCTTTTACTGTTCATCTCCGGTCTGGACAACATCGAAGACGAGGTTTGGATTTTAAAATCTATCCATGATGCATTCAGAAAAAATAAAGAGAAACAAAATTCTGAAATTCTATGGGTTCCTGTGGTGGAGGAAACTAAGATAACTGATGATCAGAAAGAGAAGTTCAAACATCTAAAATCAAACATGCCATGGTACGTCTTCCAGGACCTGTTCGTGATTAAAGGCAAGATGGTATTAGGAGAGAAATGGCATTACCAGGGAAAGCCTATCGTTGTTGTCACGAACCCTGGAGGTGAAGTGATTCACAAAAATGCAATGCACATGATGTTTGCTTGGAAGATGGAAGCCTTCCCATTTCGAGCTGAGGATGAAGAAAGACTCTTCCTTCACTGGAACTGGTTTTGGAACGAAGCCACCAAAGTTTCTCCAAAAATTGGAAAATGGGTTGGTCCTCTATTTGATACTATTGAGAGAAAAAAATGTGTCTTTTCTAAAAGCCTAACTCACCATGCAAATATTATGATATGCAGATTCAAGGGGACACGTACATCTTCATTTATGGAGGGACTGATGTTGCTGGGACCCAGAGGATTGGTACACGGTTAGACTCCATTAAGAAGGACCCCATCATCAAGCAAGCAGACGCCATAATCGAGCATTTCAACCTCTCAAAGCTTGATCAAACCTCTGCAACCAATTTCTGGGACAACATCACCAACTCGATGTTAACCCGAGTTCAAAATAAGAACTATGAACGAGACACTATTCTTAAACACATCGAAACTTAACTTTACTGTCATACAAGAACGAGGAAACTTGGGCTCTCCTCAGCAAAGGGAACAACATGCTGGTTTTAGGGTTTGATCCCCTAATAACTAGTGTTCTCGAGGACTTTGATGAATGGAGAGTGAATGTTCAAGTGCTTCAAGGCTTTGATAATGCATTTATAAAGTATTACAATCAAAAGAAGGCTAGTGCTCCTCTTCCTTGTTTCCACTCCCAATTAAGCAATATACGATCAGGAGTTCCTTTCATGATCACTTGCCCTGAGCCATCTTGCAAGAAGAAGATTATGGAAGTTGAAACAGTTAGCTACAAATGCTGCCATGGGATCCATTATCACCATGCATCATCGGACAACGTGAACGGCGGCGTGATTAGGTCCCCACTTCTGAAAACCAAAACGACTCCATGATCATGGATATATCGATAAGCTAGCTACTTTGCTTTCTCTTGTCTGTATCTATAACATAATAATGAATAAATCATGTGTGTCTTTTATGCTCTATATGTACCTTTAATTTGTTGTGTGCGCACTGCTTTAGCTTGTTGTGCTGTAATTGTCTGGCTCGGCATGGATATTATGTAATCTATGTCCACAGTCCACTGCTATAATAAATAATCCAATTATGAAGTTATTCTGTCTTTTTTACTTTGGCAAGTTCGAAACTTGTTTTTCTTTAACAAAATTGACTCGAAGGGAAAGTATTTTGCATTTATAAGTATGGGTAATCTGACCCGGTCAGATAGATGCATAAAAAATACTCCCTCCCATCCTTTTTATAAGATTCCAAATTTTCAATTGATTTAATTCTTTTTATAAGATCACAGTCAGAATGTCTCAATATTAAATGTTTTTTTATATTAATTTTTTATTCTTTTTTTAACTTTCTCTTGTACTCGCTTTGGTCCGTATTATGAGAAGTATTTTAGGAAAAAATTTTGGTCTATCTTATAAGATGTTTTATTCTCTCTCATCAACTTTTTCTCATATATAGTTTAAAAAATATTTAATTTTTACATATTTATTATATTAAATTTAAATAATTTTAATTGTTTTTTAAAACAGCCTAATTTATGTAAAAGGATCTCGTATAAAAAAGGAGCGAAGGGAGCAAAATTGATTTAATTAATGAAATCCAGGTGATGTGTCGACATCAGCGTGTCATGGAATCCAGGTCATCATTTTTCCCCCATCCAAATCCGGATATTAAGGATATTCATTAGGGGGGGTTCAACTTGTCTTATTCTGGCTATCCCATTCTGATGCCGGTCAATTCGGAAGGGGACGAGACGGGATATAGAAAACTTTACTATTATGTTTGGATGGAGAGAAAATGAGAAAAGAAGAAAATTTATGAAGTGGTTTTTTTCCTATTTGGATGAGAGAAGAAAAGTGGGAGGAAAAAAAAGTTAGAAAGAAAATGAGATGAATCTTATAGCCCATTTTCCTCTCAACTTTTCTCTTCACATATGGAAAGAAAATGAGAAGAAAAAATATTTTTTTCTCTCTATCTTTACATATGTTTTTTCAGGAAAATAATACCTATTTATTTTTTTCACTTTATTTATTATTATCAAGTCTTTCTTCTGTGTTTGCTTGATTAAAAAATAAAATAGCTAAAATTACAAAAATCCTTTTAAAATGAACCGAAAGGAAAAACAAGTAGAGTTGTTGTTTTGGTTTTTTTAGCATTATATTACACAAAATGTTATTTTTTTAACAAAAATATTTGATATTAAAATATAATAACATGATAATGTATCTTTATCAAATAATTTGATTTTAAATTATATGATTATGTTAATGTAAATATGGTTTTTCATTATGATATTTGATTTGATTTTAATCATGATATATTTTGATATAACAGAAAGGATATTTTAGTCATTCATATATTTACCTATTTTCTTTCCTTTCTGTTTTCTCTTTTCCATCCAAATATGAGAGGTGATAATATTTTTTTTCTCCAATTTTCTCTTCTCTCCATTTTCTTTCCTTTCAACTTTTCTTCCCATCCAAACAGAGGTACGAGACTATTACAAGACTAGACAAAACAATGATTGGGACGTGACACGACACGTTGGATGAGTTTATTGCATCTCGTCCTGGGATTTTTTTTGAAAAAAAAATTACTTATTAATAATTATCATAGGATTATTTAGTTCACTTTTTAAAAATAAATATAGTAATTTTTAACTCTTAAGTTGCAATATTATCTCAACAAAATCTTCTTTTTCAATAAAAAATTCATAAAGTCATTATATAATGTTTCTTTTATATCAGTCTTTTTCTTTATAGTATTGTTTTATGTTCTTTTTTCGTTATATAATTAGGCTTTCTAGATAGTATTTCTTTTAGTATTTTTATCTTTATAAGTCTAATAAAAAAACAATTGCAATATTAAAAAAAAAAAAAGTCCAAGCCTAGACTTACAATGATTTGTAAAGTACAAAAATTGAAACGGGATGGGCCTATCTCAGTTCTATAAACAGCCCTAGTGTTGATTTTTGAATATTAATATATTCTTCACCTCAAGTGCCATTTACTTGTTTATTTCACTGAAAAATGGAACCTTCAATTATGGGAGAAATACAATAATACCCTAGTTTAGTAAATTTTGTTATGCAAGGATAATTTTTTAAAAATATGAACATATTCAATAAAAAAATTTTTTTAACTTTTTTCCCTCTATGTGAAATTTGTTAAATCTTTTTTATTATAAAAGAAAGACTGGAGGTAGTACGAAGTAGTAACAAGTTATATAAGCTCAATATTTTAATTTAAAAGCCATAACACAACAATTGGTTATAATTCATAAGTATTATGTATATTCTCTCGTCAAATTTTATTCGATTTATTATTAAGATTATTAACAGAACGTCGCTGCAAAAAATTCCCGTAAGAAGTACTCGTGAGGGCGTTAAATATTGTTTTCCAACGCGTAGTGTATTGTTTCAACACCAAGAATTCATATAAAAACAATATTTGGATTAGTTCTTTTAGAAATAATTTTACAATATCTGAGATAAATATGTGAAAAGCAATTTTATTTTGGTTCACGTAAAAACACTTTTAGGATATTTTAAGCGAAAAAAGTGGGTGTGGATAGAGATTTTTTTTTTTAACCCCTTCTTTTGTTGGCGTAATGCATATGATTAAGGGATTGGGGTCAATGGAGCTTCGAATAATAAAAGCCAACATCTTTTGAAATTACTTTAGTGGAAATTGGAAAACAGCTCAGCGTAACAAATTTTTTTTTTCCCCCCATGATATTAAGATATATTATATCGTTATATTTGAATAATTTTAAATTTTTTTTCCTAACGTGCATGCTACCTGGTCATTTCCAACAGCACTCGAATCATATTTTGAAGCACCACACTTATCTCCAACTTAAACTTTATTAACTCTTATTAATATTGTTAATAGTGTTATAAAAGTTGTTAACCGTTATACTGAAGTTGTAGAAATTTTCAAAAAAATTGTTTCCAGCCGCCGGAGCTCCGACGACCAATTGTTGAATTTCCTGAAAAACCTATTGCTAACTGTTATACTAAAGTTGTTAATAGCATTATAAAAGGTGTTAATTGTTATACTGAAATTGTAAAAATTTTCAAAAAAATTGTTTCCAGCTGTCGAAACTTGTTGAATTGCTAACTGCTATACTAAAATTGTTAATAGTGTTACAAAAGTAGTTAACTGTTATACTGAAATTGTAAAAAAATTTAAAAAAAAATTGCTTTCAATAGGCGGAGCTCTGGTGACTAACTGTTGGCGGGTCACCAGAGCTCTGATGATTGCCTCTTCTGGAGTTCCGGCAATCGGCCGACTAATAGGGGCTTTGGTATTTTAAAAACAATAAATAAAATGAGAGGTAATATAGTCATTTCAGCAAACTTATAAATGCCAAATTAATTTCTTGAGACTAAATTGAAATTTCTTAAATTCAGCAAAAAATTTTAGTATTATGAAACTCATTTGTTATTTTTCTGTTTTTTTCCTAAAATAAATAGTATTTTTTTCTAAGTTTAAAACTTATATATAAAATTGACGGGAATAGCAAGTGGCTGGACTTAAACCGAGCACGCTTCTGCTCAAAAAAAGAAATCGAGCATGCTTCGTGTCAAAAGTGCAAATATCATAAAATGAATGGTTGTGATTTTTTTGGCTTCTTATATGAAAGGGAGAGAAAGCGTCATGTCATGTGTCAGTGTCACACGGCAATTCCATCTTGTCTCACGTACATTCCTAAATAAATAATTGTCATTTTTAGTAAATATTTATTATTTTTCAGTAAAGATGTATCATTTTCAAATAAATTATAGTTATTTTTAATTAATATATATACTATTTCTTGTTATGTATAAAGAAAAGTTGTTTTATTAATATCAAGTTTAGACGTGTCATTTTTCAGTAAAGACGTGTCATTTTTAAATAAATTATGATCATTTTTAATTAATATACATGTTGCTATTTGTTATGTATAAGAAAAAGTTGTTTTATTAATATCAAATTTAAACTTGTTATTTCTCAATTAAGATTTGTCATCTTCAGGTAAATTGTTGTTACAGGTTGGAATCACAGTAAAAGAGTCAACTTATATTTTTGTTTGCATTATAAGGTTAAAAAATCTTTGATGGTTCAATAACTATCTTCCCTTTTGTTGGCTCAAGTAGCCAAGGGTTGTGGGATCAAATTACACCACATTACTTTGAACTAATATTATCTTATTCCAAAAAAAATACTGTCACAAAAAAATTTCACCGACAGCCACCACAGTGGTGGCTGGCGCTGGTGGCCAGAGGCCAGTCGCCGGCATTGGCCGGTCGCCGACCACCGGTGAGAAGTTGAGGTTTTTTTTAAAAAAAAGACAAAGGCATTTTTATCATTTCATTAAATTTTAAAATTTTAAATTAGGAAAGACTTCCTTCTCTGTAATTATATTTTTTTAACTTTCTAAATTGACATTTCACATTTTCAAGTTTCTTTTGTGTGCCATTGTTC